GATCTGTACAGGGAGATCTCAGGAATCTGGGCATTTCTTGTCGATCGGTTAGTGGCAACTGACTTAAGTGAGAATTTCCACAAGAGCGTTAACTTTATGCATCACTGATTTTTCTCAGAATGGCAGAGAGCACTAAAGTGGATCTGAGCGCGTGATTCGCAATCCGGATATCTGTGGTCTGACTCTAGCCAGCCTCCTCCTGGGAGCGAGGTTGGAGTCTAACGTCATTCTGAGTACATAGCCAACACGTCTTCCACCGACTGGAGTTATTAAGAAGCTATGTCATGTAATTTGAGGTCTATTCAGCTCCAAAGGGAATCTTCTCTTTTGGAATAAGTATTTGTTTACTATGGTAGACAAACACTGATGAAAGTTCAAAGATAACAAAAAACCAGGATAGCCAAAACAGCGGTGATTGGTGCAGGGTACAATTAAAAAAGTGAAAATTGAGTCTAAATTTTTCAAAACGGACTAACCGTCCGAGTGAAAGGCGTAGAGCTCCTTCTACTTTGTGAAATTAGCATAAACTGTATAGCCTTCTGTCTTTGCCTAAGTTAGTAAGTGCCCGGGTTATTGATGACAAGGTTGAGACTTTTAGTCGAATGGACAACCATCAAGTCAAGTCAATTTAGTATTATTCTTTATATCAAAAACCGCACAACTAAATTCTAGAAGCCTATGCGTGATCGTAAGTAAGCAAAGGCTTTATTCAAAGTGGGTTATATTTAACTGTAGTAAAAACACTGATGAACTCGTGGCACTTATTACACTATAAAGCGACCTAAAAATCGGTTTTGTATTTAATTCACAAGCTATACACTTAACAAGGTTATAAATTTATTATCATATCGACAAGTACAAATACATACATTAATTGATGACAACCTTAAAATGATTCAAGTAGCGAGGAAGCTTTCTAGTTATTTATAAATTTCTCATACAAAATGCGCTTGAAACTAGCAACTGATACTTTCTTACGCTTGACTCTATAAAACTCCATTGTGTAATTTTCCTAACCGTTAAAGTTCGTCATCCATTAGTTTTCCTTAGGTACTTTTTACAAATCAAGTTTAACATTACCATGGCCGAGGTTTTTAACTTATGCGTTGTGATCGACATCAGAAACGAACTGTTATTCTCTGAACCGATTGATGATGCCTCGCATTATGTCCACGAGAGTGCGACGAATGGGTCTCATCTTCCAGCAGTATATAACGGGGTCCAAAGACGAGTTAAGGAAAAACATAGTCATTACATAGAGCCGAGCTTCGTAAAAAGAGATTAAACTTAAAAGGTGAGTTAGGAGTAAAAAAGAGAGAACATAGCAAGGCAAATAACAAATTAAGAACACAATACATACATGAAATGTCCCAAGAGCGGACTTACGAAGCTTCAAAAAGTTTGATAAGTCACCATTTTGAACTCCCTGTTGTACTTCTTGGATTTGAAGGCCTTCGATCTGGATTATGTGTCGCTTTAAGACTATATAAATCCTCCAGTAGACAATTACTACCACAAAAAGGCAAACAGTCTGAATCACAAGCCCAATGACTTGTGAGCTGAAAAGCAATGGACCCCAAAAGACACTCGAAGAAATAATTGCGCTTAACAGCCATATTGATATCACCGCTGCAATGACGCGCTTGTGAGTTACAAGCTCTTGATATCTGAGATGAAGATGAACAGCTAAGAACCTGTCCACACTTATGGTTACAACATTGAAGAGCGAAGATACACAAAAGAATTTCATAATGGCCATCAATCTCTTATAAGAAATGCAGTCGATACGTTTTCGATTTAACCAGCTGACTAGAATAAAAATATGGAGCGGCTGTGCCAACAAACCAACGCCGACATCGGAGGCAGCCAGGCTCAGTAATAATGTTCTCAAAGGTTTTGGCAACAACGCAGTTTTCCTTATCGCATGGATGGTGACGATGTTCAAAATGAAGGTTGTATAACACAAACAGCTGTTGAAGACACAATAAGCGACGAGTGCCGAACGAAAATCTTCAACATCCGTAGAGGTTCCGAAAGAAGATTTGTTGAGAAGGTCGCAAACGTTATCCGCCATGAGAGCTGAGTGTTAAAACTACTGTGGCTCTGATAATTTCCAATTCTAAAAGTCATATGTAGCTGTCAATCACAAGCATATAACACAATGGAAGCCATCTGTACGTACAGTCAAGATGTCTTCAACTCCGGCATTTGAAGTTTTGAAAAAAAGAATTGAGTATCGCGTTAACACACCGTTAGTTAGAACTAAAACAAATTATTTGTTTAATGCTTCAAGACATTCCAACGAAACATGGGAGTTATATCCGAAAGAAGTTATTTAAAGGAAGGCTGTCATTAACATATTTTTCGTCCATCAAAATGAATAAACAAAACATTATAGTCAGTTAGACTAAAGAGCGCTTGAAACATGTTACCTTATTTCTAAATTCGTCTGTAAACATGGAAGACATCTTCAGAGACACAACATTTTTACATATTCCAACCGAAAGAAATACAGACAAAACATTTTATCAAACACTGATTCTGCATAAAGCACTTAAACGAAATGAATACAGGAAGCTTGGCTATTATTTATATTGACGGCTGTTGTAAATTAAAAATGAGGGCTGGTATTATTTTTGTAACATTAGTACATGTAAATTAGAAGTGAAAAATGCGATATTGTGTTTGAATATGAAAGACTTGCAAAATGATTTTCCCAAATTTTTTCTCTCTAAATAATCTGCTGGTTAAAGTTTGTCCACTATTGCAAATAGAGAGTGTTGAATTCAGGTTGTATTGAAAAAGCAGAACCCTAAAAATTGTGCGCATAACTGAATACTCCACGTGAATCTTGTGCCATTATGCCAGACGAAAACTTTTATGTGGT